CGAGGCTGAAGGCAGACTGAGGCTGAGGCTGAAGCAGGCTGAGGCTGAGGCTGAGGCAGGCTGAGGCTGAGGCTGAGGCAGGCTGATGCTGAGGCAGGCTGAGGCTGAGGCTGAGGCTGATGCAGGCTGAGGCTGAGGCAGGCTGAGGCTGAGGCCGAGGCTGAAGGCAGACTGAGGCTGAGGCTGAAGCAGGCTGAGGCTGAGGCTGAGGCTGAGGCAGGCTGAGGCTGAGGCTGAGGCAGACTGCTGAGGCAGGCTGAGGCTGAGGCTGAGGCTGATGCAGGCTGAGGCTGAGGCAGGCTGAGGCTGAGGCCGAGGCTGAAGGCAGACTGAGGCTGAGGCTGAAGCAGGCTGAGGCTGAGGCTGAGGCAGGCTGAGGCTGAGGCTGAGGCAGGCTGATGCTGAGGCTGAGGCTGGCTGCTGAGGCTGAGGCTGAGGCTGAGGCTGATGCGGCTGAGGCAGGCTGAGGCTGAGGCTGAGGCTGAGGCCGAGGCTGAAGCAGGCTGAGGCTGAGGCTGAGGCAGGCTGAGGCTGAGACTGAGGCTGAGGGCAGGCTGAGGCTGAGGCTGAGGCTGATGCAGGCTGAGGCTGAGGCAGGCTGAGGCTGAGGCCGAGGCTGAAGGCAGACTGAGGCTGAGGCTGAAGCTGGCTGAGGCTGAGGCTGAGGCTGAGGCAGGCTGAGGCTGAGGCTGAGGCAGGCTGAGGCTGAGGCTGTGACTGCGACTGCCGTTGCCACTGCGACTTTCATCGCGAATGCGACTGCGACTGCGAGAACAGCAGAATTCTACAACTGGATTATCATGTGAATCTTAAGGGGAATGCTTCCAGATATGCTCCTACACATCGCTGTTAGGTTGCTTTGCCGGGATAATTTTCTCTCTCTCTCTCTCTCTCTCTCTTTCTCTCTGTGCATATATGTATATACATACACAGCTAGATATGTATGTGAATGTATGTATATTTATACATATATGTGTGTGTATGTGTGCATGTGTGTATGTGTGTATGTGTGTGTCTCTCTCTCTATCTCTCTCTCTCTCGATCGCTCTGCCTCTCTCTCTCTTCCCCCCCTCTCCTTCTCTCGTTTTGTTTGTGTTTCTCTATTTATCTCCCTCCCTCCCTCCCTCCTTCTCGCTCTCTCTCGCTCTCTCTCTCTCTCTCTCTCTCTCTCTCTCTCTCTCTCTCTTTCGCACTCTTTATCAATCTCTATTTTTCTCTCTCTCTCTCTCTCTCTCTCTCTCTCTCTGCATGCATATATCTAAACGCATATATAGATGTGCACCTCGCGCTCTCTCTCTTTCTCTCTCCCTCTCTCTCTTTTTCTCTCGTTCTCTCTCTATATCTCTCTATCTCTCTCTCTCCCCCTCTCTCTCTCTTTCTCTCGCTCTCTCCCTCTCTTTTAGAAAAGATAATTCGCTCTCTCTCTCTCTCTCTCCCTCTCTCCTTGTTTCCGTCTCTCTCTCTCTCTCTCTTCTCTCTCTCTCTCTCTCTCTCTCAATCTGTCTCTCTCTCTCTCTCTCTCTCGTTCTCCCTCTCTCTCGTTATTTCTCTATCTCTCTGTTTATGTCTCTGTCCCTTGTCTCTGTCCTTTGTCTGTCTTTCTCTATATATCTATCTCTGTCTGTCTCTGTCTCTACATATTTCACCACCTCTGTCTCGATCCCTGTCTGTGTCTCTGTTTCCGTCTCTCTCTCTCTCTCTCTCTCACATTCCCCCCCCCCACCACCCCACCACGCCCACCCACCCGCGCGCGCGCGCCGCCACCGCGCCACGCCGCAGCGCCGACGACTTCGACTCCATCGCGCCGCCGGGGGGGGGGGGCGATCGCCCCCCGCGACCCCGCTGGCAGCTCGACAGGGCGGGCCATGCGTTGCGGCCTCGCCGCGGGGCCCTGCCAATGGCGCGGGCGCGCGCCCTGGGCGTCCCCGACCAGGGCCAGTCCAGGGAACGCCTTGTCTTCTCTCGCGCGCGGTCGCCGAGGAGGCCCCCCAGACCCCATATCTGTCCGCGCCTTGCGGGCCCCATGCTGGAAACAACCCCCGCGGAGGGCCGCGGATCCCCAACCTCGCGCGCGCCGACGATGCCCCGCTCAGCTGCCGCGGGGCCGCCCTACATGTGCAGCTGGCGCAAGCGCGGCCCCGCGAAGCGGGCCAGCCCCAGAGGGGGGGGGCGGCCAGCCAGCGCGAGCACCCCCCATGGCATGTCAGGCCACGCGGAGCCCCCCCCCACCGATCCGCCCCGCGCTCGATCTGGTCTGGCCACTCCAGTGGGAGCGCCACGTGCGCGCGGCAGGCTGGCAGGCGATCTGCGGCGCCACCCGAAGGGTGGGGGAGCTCCTGCCTGGATGCTGCGAGGGAGCGGCAGACGCCAAAGAGCGCCCTCTCGCGAGCTGCTAGCAGGCGCCTGCGGTGTTGTAGTCTTTTTTTTCCGTAGTGAATTTGCTACGCCAGCAATTGGCTCAACCCTTTTTTTTGCACAGGTTATTGTGTGCAGTGATTGTCCTGTGCTCCTCCGTGCTGTGGCCAGTGCACCAGGGGGTACTTTCTCTGTGCGCGCTTCAGGATTTGCGATATTTTTTTCACTTTTCCCCCATGCCAGTCACAGGCTCATGGTACAACGGGCCCCCCGGCTACGTGGTAGAGCGTAAAATGAAGCCAAGATCGGGGCAAAGTTTGACCGGGATAAACATCTTGCTCGGTTTTTCACATCACCGGGGGCGCCGCCGAAGGGCCTCCCACCCCGCGGGCGCCATCGGCTTCGCGCGGGAGGAAATGCGCCCCGGCGCGGACGAGGCCACGGCGCGTATCTGGCCACAAGCACGCCAGAGGGAATTCATTGCCAATCGCGCCGCACCCAGAAGACCCGACGACAACGATGCAAACTTGAGGCCCCAAGGAAGCCCCAAGGAGGCGAACCGCCTAAAACAATCACGCAACCAAAGCAACGAAATACACGTAAATGTCCAAATCCGCGTTGCTCAGTGACCTCGCCGGCCACGCAACACCGCGATAATGCCCAAAAGGCAAGGAAAACGCACATCCGCACACGCCCCCCCAACAAAAACGCGCGCGGCCCGGCGACTTCCCCGCGCCGCCCCAGGCGCCCCGAAGCGCGCCGAAATAACCGTAGAAAAAACACAAGCAAGTCTTTGGAAGGTCCCCGCGCCAGGCAAAATCCGCCACCGAATAATCTCGCGGACACCTGGCGCGCGCGCGCGGGCATCCACCATGGATGCCCGACTCCGGCGTCCGAGACAATCGCGCGCAGCCGCCCGGGGGCCTCGGCAACCTCGCGATTGGCCTCGGGGCCCGCAGGCCCCAGGGAATCGAGGACCGAATTCGCAAGTCCGGAAGAATCGGGCGCGGCGCCAGCCATTCGCTCGTCTCTGGCTGACAATAGGACGCCTGGAAATCCGGTAAAACCTGAGGAACCGCTTTTCAGAGATTCTCAGAACCAGAAAACGGGGCGCGCCAAATTCTCGCGTCCGAACTTCTCTGAGAATCTCTGAAAACCTCTGAACTAGCCACCCCGCCTGGAACATTCCCATGAACCCAAAACCCCCGAGCTGGCCGAAACTTTCTGAAAGTTATTCGGCCCGCGAAATTTGGCGCGCCCGGATTTCTGGTTCCGAGATTCTCTGAAATCGGTCTGCGGCGGCGCCCAGCAGGTCCTCGCGCGCCCAGGGTGGGGGCCGTGGTAACTGCGGGCCGCGATGGTCCCGACCACGAGGTCCTTCCCCCTGACTCTCGACGAGCCCACGCTCATGGACGCGCTCTCTGCGCTGAGCGTGGACCGCGCCATCCGGCGGTACTTCTGCGCGACGACAGCCAACTCGCCGCCGACGGACGTGGCATTTTTTCCCCCGAGCTACGCATGCCACCGAAAACGTACAATAGCCCCGGGATCGGGAGAAACACTTTCGAAGCACTTTCAGGCCGCCAGCGTCGCGGCTGCCGGCCCGCCGCGCGCCGACCGCGAGACCAGCCGGGCCCGCTCCGTCCACGGCGGCAGGCGGGCGCCCAAGAGAGCTGTCGCCACGGTGCGCGCGGCGGGGCGCCCGCCCCACTGCAACCGAACATGCTGCCTCCATGGCGCCACAGGCGTAATATGTGCGACACATTCTCGGGCCCCCCCATCAACGCGTCGGCCAGCGCCCAAGTCCCTGAAACGCAAACCTACAGCGCCCCCCGTGCATGCCGCGCACCCGCTCCCAATGCTCGTGCAAACCAATTTTTCTGCCCGCCCTCAACAGTTCAATTGAGCGCCCATGTGTTACTCGGGCTCCTCAAGCCCTCGAACACATCTGGGGAACTTCTGCGACTGCGCGCGCTACGACCCACAAATCGGCTTTCTATTTTTCTCTGGAACTCTCCCAGAATCTCGGGTTTCGATTTGTCCCGATCTTCCGCTCAACTGAGAGCGGGCCCCCTGGCTAAGCGGTAGAACCGGCCCCGTGGCTGGCGGGCCCCCAGGCGGGCCCCTGGCTAAGTGGTAGAATGGGTGCCCAGGCTAAGTGGTAGAACGGGCCCCTTGGCTGGCGGGCCCCCAGGCGGGCCCCTGGCTAAGTGGTAGAACGGGTCCCCAGACTAAGTGGTAGAACGGGCCCCCAGACTAAGTGGTAGAACGGGCCCCTTGGCTGGCGGGCCCCCAGGCGGGCCCCTGGCTAAGTGGTAGAACGGGTCCCCAGACTAAGTGGTAGAACGGGTCCCCAGACTAAGTGGTAGAACGGGTCCCCAGACTAAGTGGTAGAACGGGTCCCCAGACTAAGTGGTAAAACGGGTCCCCAGACTAAGTGGTAGAACGGGTCCCCAGACTAAGTGGTAGAACGGGTCCCCAGACTAAGTGGTAGAACGGGTCCCCAGACTAAGTGGTAGAACGGGTCCCCAGACTAAGTGGTAGAACGGGTCCCCAGACTAAGTGGTAGAACGGGTCCCCAGACTAAGTGGTAGAACGGGTGCGTGTGGTAGTGGACAACTTGAAAGTGGTAGAAGGGTTCCAAGGTAAGTGGAAGAACGGACCCTCGAAGTGATAGAACGGGGTATTTTTGGTCCTACCTGCAAGGCTCACAGCATGACCTTCTGTGCCGATGGTGGTGAGATCTGAAGACGCATCTGGATTGGCACCGTGGCCCTTTCGCCAGTGCCTCCGACGCGTTGCGGGGTTCTTCCGGGGACAGCGCGCGGGACAAACTATCCAATTCAATCTCTCGTTGTCGCTTGTTTGCCTGCTGCTGATTGACCTGTCCGGTGCGGGCCTCCGCCGCACTGCGCTGAAAACCTCTGTTCCTGCCCCGCCCCCGGCCCCAGCCCGCGGCACCGCGGCCCCCTGCCGCGAGCGAGGGCGGCTGGGGCAGGTGGAGGCGGCCTTGGGCCACCTACAGGAGGCCGCTCGCCAGCTTCGTACGAGAAAGCAAACATCTGGAGCCAAAATGGCTGCGTTTCTCATCATGGACGGTGGGGAGGAGACGGAGGACGAGGATCAAGAGAAGCATTCGGATGAGGGGGCGGGGAAGAACGGAAAAGGGTGACACCCTTTAACATAGGACGCACACGGTGCTCGGACCGCATTGGGCCATGGCCGCACGGGGTTAGGCATGCCAGCGGCAAATCCCACGGAATGTCGTCGTAACGGCCCGAGACGGAACCCTCCTCCACCAATCATTATGCCTTCTCCTTCCCTCTGCCCCGGGGCCCACTCCTTTTCGTCTCGTCTTCCTCCTCGTTCTCCTCATCCACCTCCTCGGCATGTGTATCCTAAGCCCCCGCCCTTCGACCTCCTCGGCCATCCTCGCCCTATCGCGGCCAATCGTTTTTGGTAGAACGTTCGGAAGTCCCCATTCCCATTACCCATCCCCCATTGTCCTCGCGCCCTCTCTCCCCGACTCTTGCGCCCTCGCGCGGCGCCCCCTTCGCGCGCATGATGGTGCACGCCCATCCACCCCGCATCGCATGCTATCCATCGTGCTAAATCCCCTGCCAACCGCCGCCCAATATGTCAGTATTTGATTGACCCCAACGGCCAAGGCAACAACCAAACATCATGACCCGTGACTTTATACGCATTGCCCGTTTGAATATAAAATATCTGGCCTACAGCAGTAGTTCCATTTGAGGTGTAAACTTCTATATGTGAACACACACCGTTGAAAACAGCTACTTGCACTGTGGCGTGAAGGCCCGCCCCCGCGATTTCAGGCTATCAAGAGAGTTGCAGGTACAGTGCGAAGACGGGGACCTTAATGAGGCTACGTCTTCATCGTGTGGTCAGGGTTAGGGGTTCTTAGATCATCGATGTCATTAACAACTTGATAGGCGAAGCACAGGACACGAACGCACTCTTGATTTGCAAGAGTCGACCTACTACGAATCAAACGTTAACGTCGCCCCTGAGCCTCGCGGCAGCCCGCCAGGTCACCCCTCTCCCACAGCAGCGCCTCCAGGTCCAAGCAGGAGCTCCTGATGTCTCTGGGGCGACGAGGGACGCCCAGAGCTGGGCGCGCGCGCCCCGGAGAGCTCGGAGGAGGGAGAGGGAAAAGAGAAGCAGGACAGAGGCCCCCGGTAAGCAAGAGCTCCTGAGGGCGGCGTGGCCCAGGCTTACGGCGCGCCGCAGTGCCTCCTCTGCGCGAGGCGGAGACCTGTCCGTCCACATCCACCGCCTGGGGGCCCAGCCCAGTGGCGGGAGGGCACGCAACGAGATCCATGGCACGGCGCCCCCCCAACAAAAACGCGCGCGGCCCGGCGACTTCCCCGCGCCGCCCCAGGCGCCCCGAAGCGCGCCGAAATAACCGTAGAAAAAACACAAGCAAGTCTTTGGAAGGTCCCCGCGCCAGGCAAAATCCGCCACCGAATAATCTCGCGGACACCTGGCGCGCGCGCGCGGGCATCCACCGTGGATGCCCGACTCGTCCGAGACAATCGCGCGCAGCCGCCCGGGGGCCTCGGCAACCTCGCGATTGGCCTCGGGGCCCGCAGGCCCCAGGGAATCGAGGACCGAGTTCGCAAGTCCGGAAGCATCGGGCGCGGCGCCAGCCATTCGCTCGTCTCTGGCTGACAATAGGACGCCTGGAATCCGGTAAAACCTGAGGAACCGCTTTTCAGAGATTCTCAGAACCAGAAAACGGGGCGCGCCAAATTCTCGCGTCCGAACTTCTCTGAGAATCTCTGAAAACCTCTGAACTAGCCACCCCGCCTGGAACATTCCCATGAACCCAAAACACCCGAGCTGGCCGAAACTCTCTGAAAGTTATTCGGCCCGCGAAATTTGGCGCGCCCGGATTTCTGGTTCCGAGATTCTCTGAAATCGGTCTGCGGCGGCGCCCAGCAGGTCCTCGCGCGCCCAGGGTGGGGGCCGTGGTAACTGCGGGCCGCGATGGTCCCGACCACGAGGTCCTTCCCCCTGACTCTCGACGAGCCCACGCTCATGGACGCGCTCTCTGCGCTGAGCGTGGACCGCGCCATCCGGCGGTACTTCTGCGCGACGACAGCCAACTCGCCGCCGACGGACATGGCATTTTTTCCTCCGAGCTACGCATGCCACCGAAAACGTACAATAGCCCCGGGATCGGGAGAAACACTTTCGAAGCACTTTCAGGCCGCCAGCGTCGCGGCTGCCGGCCCGCCGCGCGCCGACCGCGAGACCATCCGGGCCCGCTCCGTCCACGGCGGCGGGCGGGCGCCCAAGAGAGCTGTCGCCACGGTGCGCGCGGCGGGGCGCCCGCCCCACTGCAACCGAACATGCTGCCTCCATGGCGCCACAGGCGTAATATGTGCGACACATTCTCGGGCCCCCCCATCAACGCGTCGGCCAGCGCCCAAGTCCCTGAAACGCAAACCTACAGCGCCCCCCGTGCATGCCGCGCACCCGCTCCCAATGCTCGTGCAAACCAATTTTTCTGCCCGCCCTCAACAGTTCAATTGAGCGCCCATGTGTTACTTGGGCTCCTCAAGCCCTCGAACACATCTGGGGAGCTTCTGCGAATGCGCGCGCTACGACCCACAAATCGGTTTTCTATTTCTCTCTGGAACTCTCCCAGAATCTCGGGTTTCGATTTGGCCCGATCTTCCGCTCAACTGAGAGCGGGCCCCCTGGCTAAGCGGTAGAACCAGCCCCGTGGCTGGCGGGCCCCCAGGCGGGCCCCTGGCTAAGTGGTAGAATGGGTGCCTAAGCTAAGTGGTAGAACGGGCCCCTTGGCTGGCGGGCCCCCAGGCGGGCCCCTGGCTAAGTGGTAGAACGGGTCCCCAGACTAAGTGGTAGAACGGGTCCCCAGACTAAGTGGTAGAACGGGCCCCTTGGCTGGCGGGCCCCCTGGCGGGCCCCTGGCTAAGTGGTAGAACGGGTCCCCAGACTAAGTGGTAGAACGGGTCCCCAGACTAAGTGGTAGAACGGGTCCCCAGACTAAGTGGTAGAACGGGTCCCCAGACTAAGTGGTAAAACGGGTCCCCAGACTAAGAGGTAGAACGGGTCCCCAGACTAAGTGGTAGAACGGGTCCCCAGACTAAGTGGTAGAACGGGTCCCCAGACTAAGTGGTAGAACGGGTCCCCAGACTAAGTGGTAAAACGGGTCCCCAGACTAAGTGGTAGAACGGGTCCCCAGACTAAGTGGTAGAACGGGTCCCCAGACTAAGTGGTAGAACGGGTGCGTGTGGTAGTGGACAACTTGAAAGTGGTAGAAGGGTTCCAAGGTAAGTGGAAGAACGGACCCTCGAAGTGATAGAACGGGGTATTTTTGGTCCTACCTGCAAGGCTCACAGCATGACCTTCTGTGCCGATGGTGGTGAGATCTGAAGACGCATCTGGATTGGCACCGTGGCCCTTTCGCCAGTGCCTCCGACGCCTTGCGGGGTTCTTCCGGGAACAGCGCGCGGGACAAAATATCCAATTCAATCTCTCGTTGTCGCTTGTTTGCCTGCTGCTGATTGACCTGTCCGGTGCGGGCCTCCGCCGCACTGCGCTGAAAACCTCTGTTCCTGCCCCGCCCCCGGCCCCAGCCCGCGGCACCGCGGCCCCCTGCCGCGAGCGAGGGCGGCTGGGGCAGGTGGAGGCGGCCTTGGGCCACCTACAGGAGGCCGCTCGCCAGCTTCGTACGAGAAAGCAAACATCTGGAGCCAAAATGGCTGCGCTTCTCATCATGGACGGTGGGGAGGAGACGGAGGACGAGGATCAAGAGAAGCATTCGGATGAGGGGGCGGGGAAGAACGGAAAAGGGTGACACCCTTTAACATAGGACGCACACGGTGCTCGGACCGCATTGGGCCATGGCCGCACGGGGTTAGGCATGCCAGCGGCAAATCCCACGGAGTGTCGTCGTAACGGCCCGAGACGGAACCCTCCTCCACCCATCATTATGCCTTCTCCTTCCCTTTGCCCAGGGGCCCACTCCTTTTCGTCTCGTCTTCCTCCTCGTTCTCCTCATCCACCTCCTCGGCATGTGTATCCTAGGCCCCCGCCCTTCGACCTCCTCGGCCATCCTCGCCCTATCGCGGCCAATCGTTTTTGGTAGACCGTTCGGAAGGCCCCATTCCCATTACCCATCCCCCATTGTCCTCGCGCCCTCTCTCCCCGACTCTTGCGCCCTCGCGCGGCGCCCCCTTCGCGCGCACGGTGGTGCACGCCCGTCCACCCCGCATCGCATGCTGTCCATCGTGCGAAATCCCCTGCCAACCGCCGCCCAATGTGTCAGTATTTGATGGACCCCAACGGCCAAGGCAACAGCCAAACATCATGACCCGTGACTTTATACGCATTACCCGTTTGAATATAAAATCTCTGGCCTACAGCAGTAGTTCCATTTGAGGTGTAAACTTCTATATGTGAACACACACCGTTGAAAACAGCTACTTGCACTGTGGCGTGAAGGCCCGCCCCCGCGATTTCAGGCTATCAAGAGAGTTGCAGGTACAGTGCGAAGACGGGGACCTTAATGAGGCTACGTCTTCATCGTGTGGTCAGGGTTAGGGGTTCTTAGATCATCGATGTCATTAACAACTTGATAGGCGAAGCACAGGACACGAACGCACTCTTGATTTGCAAGAGTCGACCTACTACGAATCAAACGTTAACGTCGCCCCTGAGCCTCGCGGCAGCCCGCCAGGTCACCCCTCTCCCACAGCAGCGCCTCCAGGTCCAAGCAGGAGCTCCTGATGTCTCTGGGGCGACGAGGGACCCCCAGAGCTGGGCGCGCGCGCCCCGGAGAGCTCGGAGGAGGGAGAGGGAAAAGAGAAGCAGGACAGAGGCCCCCGGTAAGCAAGAGCTCCTGAGGGCGGCGTGGCCCAGGCTTACGGCGCGCCGCAGTGCCTCCTTTGCGCGAGGCGGAGACCTGTCCGTCCACATCCACCGCCTGGGGGCCCAGCCCAGTGGCGGGAGGGCAAGCAACGAGATCCATGGCACGGCGCCGTGGGGAACCCGGAGACAAGAGGTCCAACGCACGGCATGAAACCAAAACGACATGGTTGTTTCCTCTGTGTTATGCCTCTGGAGACCCTCGCCGGGCCCCTGGGACCGTCAACAAAACAGCTCAGGATCTAAAGCCGGTCCCCTGGAGTGGGTCGAAAAAAATATGGGGACCCCGCATGGAAGAAACCCAGACATCGTGTCTTTGGGAAGACAGTATCGATGACACACGCCGCCGTGGGGAATCCATCGGCGTGGCTTTCACTGCTGCAAAAAAACATGCCTTCGGTCGGAAGCGAAGAAGTGACCCGCTGACGGACGCCCAAACGGCGGCGTCTCGTTGATACAGTTCTTGCCTACCGAAGTACGTGGTCCCCAGAAGTCCCAATCCTTGAGGTGGAGGAGGAGGGGGAGGAGGTGGACGAGGAGGAGGAGGAGGAGGAGGAGGAGGAGGGGGAGGAGGAGGTGGGGAGGGGGAGGAGGAGAAGGAGGAGGAGGAGGAGGAGGAGGAGGAGGAGGAGGGGAGGAAGAGGAGGAGGAGGTGGAGGCGGAGGAGAAAGTGGAGTAGGAGGAGGAGGTGAAGGAGGAGGAGGAGGAGAAGGAGGAGGAGGAGGAGGACGGGGAGGAAGAGGAGGAGGAGGAGGTGGAGGAGGATGAAAAGTGGAGTAGGAGGAGGAGGACGAGGAGGAGGAGGAGGAGGAGGAGGACGGGGAGGAAGAGGAGGAGGAGGTGGAGGAGGAGGAGAAAGTGGAGTAGGAGGAGGAGGACGAAGAGGAGGAGAAGAACGAGGAGGAAGAGAAGGAGGGGGAGGAGGAGGATCTCCGCGACCAGCTTTCCATCCCGAGTCCTTCTGTGACGATCCAAGGGCCCAGCGAGGGCCCCTGGATAGGCCGAGAAAACGCCCAGCAACCGATGCGAGCACGTCTGGGGTTGGGCGCCACGGGAGCGATAGATTTTGATGCTCCTCCTCTTTCTCCTCCTCCTCCTCCTCCAAGGTACCCATAGCGCGACTCCCCGGACCTCTGCCTGGGGCGCGATCTGACCAGAACCTCAGGAAGAAGTCGGCCGTGGCGACCAGCGGCGTCGGCACCTTCCCCTGAGGTCCGACGCTGCGAACAAAATGGCAGCATCGAGAAACCAACGACTGGAGCCCCAGAGCCCAACTTCCTGCCGCTTTTTGATCAGCAGTAAAAGTACCCCTAACCCTTTTGGGAGGGGACCTAAGATAGAAGGGCCAACAACTATTAGGGATAGGAGTCTTTTCGACAGATGTTACAAACCAAATCACACAGATCTATCATCCCTAGTGCGAAGACGGGGACCTCAGTAGGGCCAAGTCTTCATCTTGTGATTCGGGTTATAAGAAGGTTCTTGTGTTCTCGATGACATTTCTCGAGCCAAACCGATCCGTGATGATTCAAGGGCCCGAAGCCGGACGAACATCCCGGTGTGAAAACAAAACATGCAACGCTCAGGTCTGAGGGAAGGTGGGCCTCGCTTGCGCTGTCGTGGAGCACCGGAAAAGCAAAATAGCGACTTTGGGCCTATCGGTGCCCTCTTTGGAGGCCCCCCGGGGTGTCTCGGGGGCTTCTTGGACCGGGGTCGGCGTTGGTTCCGTCTCGCTTCTGGGCGGCGCGCAGCTGAGGCGTGGTAGGTGGGAGGGGGAAGGCTGCTCAGAAGCGTCCCTGCTTCTTTGGAAGGCGCGGGCCCTACATCTACAGGCAGGGCCCGCCCCTGGTAAGAAGCAGGGGTGCCTTTAAGAAGCCTGCCCCCTTCCCGTCATGCGGACCCTCCAAGCGGGGCCTGCGGTGGAGCTCCCTGTGGGGCCACGAAGCGTGTGAGGGGCGTGCCGACATGGGTGCGGGGTCGCCATGCCAACCCTCCCACTGAGGCCTTCGGTGGAACTCTCCATGAGGCCACGTAACGTGTGAGGGGTGTGCCGACATGGGAGTGGTGGCGCCATGCGAACCCTCCCACTGGGGCCTTCGATGGAGCTCCGTATGGGGCCACGAACCGTGAGGGCTGAGCCGAAACGTGTGCGGGGGCGCTATGCGAACCCTCCCGCTTGGGCCTTCGGTGGAGTCTCCCATGGGGCCACTGGGGAAAGGTCCTGATACCGCTACTCCCCGGACCGCTCCGGTGGTGCGTTCTGGCCAGAATTTCGACGCGAATCCAACGGTGGCGACGAAGGCCTCCGCGGAAGCCCAAAGAGTGGAAAACGGGCGAAGGGTAGCGGTATGGATGTCCTCCGAGTTGCGAGAAGTGCGAGGGGTCGGCCGACATGGACCCCCCTGCTACGCGTGGCCGAGCCCTTTAGTGGACCCCGAAACGGTAAAACAATGGTTTTCATCGCTTCCGAGAAAAATCTTGAAAACGGAAACGGTAAGAACACAAGATCTGGAAACGGCAAGAAAACGGCTCCTGAATTGGAGCTGGAGCCGGAACCAGCAACAAAACGGCAACGGAATCGGCAAACAAAACGGAGTCGGAACCAGCAAGGAACACGGCAAAACGGAACTTACAAAAAAAAACGGCCGTGCCGTTGCCAGGGCCCACTGAGGCCGAGCTCCAGGACGCAGGTCTCCGCCTAGGCTCCTCGGCCAGCCCCGCCAGCTCCTCGGCGGCGCCCCCGCCCGCCGCCGCGGCCTTGAGCAGCACGCCCGCGTAGAAGTGCCAGCGCGCGCCGTCTCGGCCGTCCTGAAATTAGGTCGGGCATGTCGTCATGGCGGATTTGGGGGGGAAATAAGAAGTAGCCAAAACATATATCACACATTGCCACCACAACAACAAAAAAAGAAAAATCGTCCCCAGGCTATGTTTTGCCTATTTTGAGTTCTCCTCCTGAAGGGGCATGCCCGACTTCGTCATGGGGGGAGGAAGCAGCTGCATCATCGTCGTGGGAACTTGACCCAAGTGAGCGACGACCCAAAACGGATCTTAATTATGCGAAATGACAATGTCACGGCGACCCCACGCCGCGACCCGCTTTTTGTTTTGCGCATCTCACATGGCGAACGATACGCACTCCGAGGACACGCATCGGCCCGGACGCCGCCCAGAAAAAGTACGTTGCCGCCCCTACTGGGTGTCCCAAAACGGTCACGCAGAACAGCCCGAGGAGGAAAGGAAGAGGAGACGCATCGGAGATCGGATCGGCGCTGGGCCCCTGTGAGATTGTTTGTCATTTCCGGTAACGGTCGTTCCCACTCCCCCAGGGCGGGGGGAAGGGTAGTAGCGGCAACTCTCGAGCTGGGCGGGCCACGTCGGGGCGAAGGTGCGCTGCGAGCGCCATAGTATTCGCGCGAGCACCAGCATGTGCGTGGGGGGGGTCCAGCCCAACCTCCCTACGCACGGTCGCTACCGTTGACCCGGGGAGTGGGATTGGCCAGGGTCTCGAGCTTGAAGCACCAGAGGATGGACAAAAACTGAAACACACACACACACACACACAAAAACACATAACAAACAAAAACTATAAACAACAGAAAAGCAAGCAGACTCCGAGGCGCACTCCGCCCATAAGAGGAGGCGCCGGAAATGCCGCCAGCCAATCCAAGAAATCCGCTCGGAGCTAGAAAACATTATGTTGACTCGGGTCCCGAATAGCATGGCGCTGCAGGGACATCAGAGTGACACGGTCGTGTTTCGCTGCAGGCATTTCGTTTTATCGCACCTCCCGTAACGCTTGTCACGGGGTTCCCCCCCCAAAAAGGTAACGATCGTACGGCGGGCGGTGGCGCGCACCCCTCCATGCGCGCGGCTGTCGCGGTGTACACATCGGCGGCTTACACAGGTGATGTTGTGCCCGCAGGCACTGTGGTGTACACCGGCGGCGGCTGTCGTGGCGTACGCAGGCGCTGCGGTGCGCGCAAGCACCCCTGCCTTGGTGACAACTGAAGACGATGTCCCTCCCTCCCCACATAGATCTCTCCTCACAAGCCCTGGTTGGCGAGGCATGTGGTGCGGGCCTCGCTCCCGGCTGTCGTCCGTCGACCCCCCCCCAGGGACAAAAAAGGTGTGTCAACGTGGGCACCAAAACAATTAGGCAGGCCCCGTGGGCGGCGAGGCTACAGGATGCTACTGCACAAGGGAAGAAACATCGAACCGCATCTAATAATATGTCGGCGATCTATTGGTAGATGTGGTCAGGTTTTAGTCGATGTAATCACCTTCGCCGCACATCGCATGCGTGACACGATTGCCGTCGCATTAGGGCCCGTTGTCCCCCCGGGAGGAGGAGGAGGGGAAAAGGAGGAGGAGGAGGAGGAATAGAAGGAGCTGGGATTCATTTGCGTGCGCGACACACGCGGTCATAGCGGTGTGCGGCTCCGACTCCATCAGTTTCTCGGGCATCCGGCGACGGCGACGGCGGCGACGACGACGACGACGAACGATGTCCTGGGGCCTCCAGAGGCCCAAGGACGTCGTCGATTGTCCTCGTGTGGCTCAAGGGCTTCCTTGGCTCAAGCATTTTGGCCTCCTGCTGCTGCTGCTCCTCCTGCTTCTGCTGACGCCGTTCCGCACGCCCCTGGGCCGTGTGGTCTTCACGTGCGCTGTGGTGCATGCGGATGATGCCGCAGCAGCTGCAGCGGTCCCAAACATTATGGTGTTCGCGGGCAGGTAGGTGCACAAAGGCAGCGCGGTGTACACAGGCAGTGCCGGCCAAAACCCAAGGGACCGCGCCACGGGCCACAAAATTCAATGCTGACTACGAACTGACATACTGACTTTGATACGTTCGGGCCCCGAGCGGTGGCATGGTGTACGCGTGCGCTCCAATGCGCGCGGCCGATGTGACTGCTGTGCGCTCGGCGCTCTGGTGCACGCAGGCGCTTCCTGCGGGCTACACAGGAGGCGCTGTGGTGCACGCGCACGGCTACAGCGGTACACACGGCAACGGCTTTGAGATGCACACGGCTGTTGTGGTGTCCGCGTGCCACGTGGTGTACATAGGCGCTGTGGTGCACGCGGGCCCTTCGACACAGGGACTCAGGCGCTCGATTCTGGTGCACGCAGGAACTGTGGAGCACGCGGGCACTGTGGTGTACAACAGCGATGTGTTGCACACGGCTGCTGTGGTGTACACAGGCGCTGTGGTGCACACAGACACAGCAGCGTACGCAGGCGCTGTGGTTTACACGGCTGCTCTGGTGTGCACGGGCGCTGCGGTGTACACAGGCGCTGCGGTGCACACAGGCACTGCGGTGTGCACCGGCGCTGTGTTGCACACGGCTGCTCTGGTGTACGCGGGCGTTGCGGTGTACACAGGCGTTGTGGTGCACGCAGGCACTGCGGTGTGCATCGGCGCTGTGTTGCACACGTTTTCTGTGTACGCAGGCGCTGCGCCGTGCACAGGCGCCGTGCACAAGCGCTGCGGTGCATGCATGACCCCCCCGACCCCCCCACCACCAACCCCCATCGTTACGGTTACCCCCCCGACCAGACCCCCCACGTAACGGACGCTATGGGCCCAGAACTAAAACTATCTGCAGGGTGGACGCGAAACCCAAAAACGCGGGTGCCTGCAACCGCTTCGCCTGAGAGTTCTTACAAATTCTTCAAGAATCGTGGTCTCGTATCAATGCCGGCTAAATTCGTTGTCGCGACGGCCGCAATCTTCGTAACAGAACTACGCCAAGGTGCACATGGCCGTGCTCGAACCTCTGTCACCGATCCGCCACCGTGCCTCTGGGCACGGAGTTGACGTGTTCTCAAGTCATTCGCCTATCCCTGGAGCATCAATCCACACTCCTGAGGAGTCTAGAAGGGGCCCGGAGCTCAAATTCTTAAATCTCCTGGGGCTTGGCGCAATTCCCCTGGGCTCCCCCGCATCTTGTCGCATGACACGTTTGGCCCAGGAGGGCCCCAAGACAGGCCAAGAGGGCTCCAAGAGGCCACCAAGACGGTCCAAGAGGGCCCCGAGTCGCCAAAAGATCGCTCCAAGACTCCCAAGATGGCATCAAGATAGCCGAAGAGGCCTCAAAGACGCCCCAATGACCTCAAGAGACACAACTCATCAGAGGCCCCAAAGACGACCCCGAAACGGCCAAAGAGGTCTCCAAGAGGGCCCCAAAACGACCTAAGCCTGCGGTTTATAGTGCCCCAAGACGGCCCAAGAGGCGCCCAAAACAGCCCACCCCAACACGGCCCTAAAAGGAGCCCAAGAGAGAGAGAGAGAGAGAGAGAGAGAGAGAGAGAGAACACGATCCGAAAATCCGAGCCTTCCGCCCCAAGAGCTCCCCGGAAGACCCCAAGAGGCGCCCAGGAGGCTCCACGAGGCCCCCAGGAGGCCCCATGAGGCCCCCAAGAGGCCCCTCCAAGAGGTCCCCGAGAGCCCTCCAAACTGACTCCACGAGGCCCCCGAGAGGCCTCCCACGAAACGAACATCCAATCGGCTTCATACCTACAACCCCCCGCGCCCCAGCGCGATGGCGGGATGAATCGAAGGCCATGACATAGCCGACCTTTGTACTCATTAGTGTGCTTTGGAGCCTAGCTCGTTAGCATTCGCGAGAATGCCCGTGACCGGCCCGAACCCCACCCCCCTGGTCACGTCACGATTCGTGCTGACGCCGTCTGGGAATGAGCCAATCATGAGGCGCCTAAAAAAAAGCTCACTCCCAGCCGGCGCCTGCACGAACCGTGACGCGAGCCGGAGCCCACGAAAGTGGCGACAGTTGCGCAGATCGCAGCCCCCAGGGCACCGCGAGGTCTCGAGGTGATCCGCGTGGGACCCACCTCCGCTGGGCCTCCCAGGAGCCCACGAAAGTGGCGACAGTTGCGCAGATCGCAGCCCGACGGCACGAGAGAAGAGGAGAGGGGAACACAGGAAACAGGAGAGGAGGAGGGGGCGGAGGAGAAGGACGGGGCGACCACATTGCTCTATTCAGAACGAATACCCAACCATAAGAAGATTGGGGAAAAAAATTCATTCCCAGCCGGCGCCTGCGCGAACCATGACGTGACCGGCCCCCTCCCCCCTCTCTCACCCCTGGTCACGCCCGCTCCCCGACCCCCGACGCCGCGACTTCCCTCGCAGCGTGGACCCCGAAAATCCCGACCCACTCCCAGCGGCCCGCTTCTCGTCATGAGTAGTTTTAAATCGGGCGTGTCCCCCAACAGGGGGATTTTCGACGAGAAAATACAAAAATACAAGAAAAAATGAAAAAATAATACGGTGACTATTTTTGTACCTATGTTATAACCTTCTGGGGGGCATTTTGGGGGTACCTTGTGTGTTTCGTCGAAAATCCCCCTGTAGGGGGAGACGCCGACATACGAGTAGTTTTGTTGATGGTCCTGGGCCTGGCGGGGGCCTCCGAGATGCCCGGCCCCCTCCCCGATATCCCCCACCCTCGGCCACGCCCGTGCCCAGACCCCCGACGTCGTGACTTTTTCGCCACTTCGACCCGCAAAGATATCGACCCCTTCCCGGGGGCCAGCTTTTCATCCCGAGTATGTTTGCTGATGGTCCCGGGCCCGGCGAGAACCTCCAGAATCCGAGAACGCAGAAAAACATTGGTTTGCGTTTTTCTTTACGTTGGATATCTGGGTTCTCGCCAGCGGATAGAAACGCGAGCCCTGCTTTTAGAGTATGGCTGGGGTATGTTGTTCTTCTCCGACGTCTGGAGGCCAGGCCCCACAGAAATCTCTTTCCCGGAGCATCGGATCTCTGGCCCCCGACATCTGCTGCCCCTCATAAGGGGGGCCCTGGGACACACAAACAAATAGACACAAAGAACAGGAATTCCACACTCCCCAAGCAGAGCTTGCCTCTGCAGGGGTCCTTCAATAGCGGATTCGTATGGATAGGCTCGGTTCGCCGCTGATGTTCGCTGCGCGCCCGGGCGCCCAGGCGCCCAGGGTTGCAAGGCAGCTGCTAATGGACAGCCTCAGAACCCAGGCAACAAATTAATTTCATAAAAAATGTATGACAATTAGGTGATGTGAAATAAGTCAAAATGAAGCCGCTGCCGTATGTTCTTACATAAATAACAAAAATATACAAGGCCCCGAATGTAACGGCAGAGGCGGCGGCGACACGACGGCAAAGCAGAGAGAAGGGAAAGAAACTGCAACGGCGCAGCTGTCAGGAGTGAGTTCCAGCCAGAAAGGTTGCGTGCCATCGCATGGCGAATCACATTGAAACAAAAGAAGCAGAAGGAGGAGAAGGAGAAGGAGAGGAAGGATATGGACGAGGAGGAGGAGAAGGATGAGCAAATTGATAGAGGAGGGCGAGGAGGAACATGAGGAGTTGGACGAGGATGACCACGGCGACGAACACGAGGAGGGGTACAGGGAGGAGGAGGAGGAGGAGGAGGAGGAGGAGGAGGAGGAGGAGAAGGAGGAGGATGGGGGAAGAAAAGAGGAGGAGGGGAATGATGAGAAGGAGGAGGAGGAGCAGGACGAGGACGAGGATGACGAGGAGGAGGAGGGTGGACATTTTTCGAGCATCCCCCACGAGTGGAAACCCTGCCGCAGCAGGCTTGCTGTATCCACGAGCACCAGCCCCCACCCCCGCTGATGCGGAAAGGAGTGAAGGCGCTGAATTGGGCTTGGCGGGGAACGCTGTGGTCTTATCGCAGGCCCGCCGCAGGCGCCGATTTTGAATCAAAGCAAAAATACGCATTGATATCGCAAGCCCGCAAACGACGATATTTCTCTGTAATATAAAAGCGGATACTGTTTGCAAACTTGCCGCAAGCGCCGATTCTGCATTCGAGCCAAACCCGGCATGAAGATGGCAGGCTCGCCGCAGGCGCCGATCTCATGATCAGGAAACGAATTCTGATTGCAAGCCCGCCCCAGGCACCGATTAAAAAAAACTGAAGCCGTAACAAGCATGAAGATGGCAAGCCCGCCGCAGGCGCCGATTTTTTTCACCAAAAAGTTAATTTTTAGAAAACGAATTCATGGCACAAGCCCACCGCAAGCGCCGATTTGTCATTGAAAACGCGAATGAAATGACGACCGACGCCGATTATTTCAAGAACCGTGAGGAAAACACAAGCGCCGCAGGTGCCGGTTTTTGTCTTGCACAGAAAAAGCCTTTTCCCCTCCCACGAGGCTGCGGAGGCCCCCCTTATTGGGCGGCATGGCGGGGGGGGGGGGAGGAAGGAGGGGCGGGGGGGGAGGGAGGAGGGAGGAGGAGGGGGGAGGAGGAGGAGGAAAAAGGGAAGGAGGAGGGGGGGGCGGGAGGAGGAGGCGGAGGGGGAGGGGGGGGAGGGAGGAGGAGGAGGGGCGGGCAGAGAAATAGCTGAAGAATAGCGAAAATCACAGGGAAAAAAAGGTGCATCCCCAGGGACTTTTGCGGCGCCTACTCTTTGTATATGTTCTCGCAACTTTTTTTTTCGGCTGCCGAAACAGACAATTCCGCGCATTTTTTGTTTCGCTGGTTCGCTGCATTGTTTCGCTATTGGTTCGCTCTTTAATATACAAAAAAAAAAAACGACAAATAAGCAAGAAAAAAAGGTTTCGCTGGGCGCACCTATTTTTCATATAAAAAATACAATATATGTGAAAAGCTAGGTCCGCCGAAGCGATTGAACATGTAGAAAAATGAAAACAATTAAAATAATAAAAACGAAAGGATGTGTTCCCCGGGGCCGCCGGCCGGAGCAAGGTGAAACAGCGCGACGCCGCCGGGAATCCTGCGGCGGATTGCTGCCGCCCCATCCCAAAGAGCCTTGCCCCCCCCCCCCCCTGCCGCAAACACCATTGGGTAGAGAGGCGGGCCGTCCCGGGCGGGGGGGCGGGCGGGGGCGCAACGCCAAACGAAGCGCGCGGCCGCGCGGGTCGCAAACGAGGCGGCGTGACTTTTGTAGCGGGGCCCAACAATGCATCCCGTCGCCCTGTCGGCGATCCCTGCTTTCTCAAACGAATTCCTTGTCGGGGATGGGCGCGACCCTTGTCCTGGACCCCCATTATAGCAGGTCGCCCACGATGGCTCAAAAATTGCCCCCACATGCGGCAAGACTCAAGACGGCCCGCGATACGGCTCCAGATAGCCAGAGATCTTCCAAGACCCAAAGCGCCACCACGCCCTGAGGCACGGAGCGGGCGTGTTCCGACGTCCTCTACCTCACTCTTGAACCTCAGTCCTCTGTCTTCAAAACTATTTGAAGGACCTGGAGCCCAAACTCAGAAATCTTCTGGGGCTCCCCGCGCCTTTCCGCATGATTTTTGGGAAGCGATTTTGCGACCCCTCCAGATGCGAAAATCCCACCCCCCCACCCACCCAAAAAGGCCCCGAGAGGCAACAAAGGGCCCCCAAGAGGGCCCGCAAGAGGCCCCAAAGAAGCCGCAAGAGCTCTCAAGAGTCCTCCGAAGAAGGCCCCGAGAGGCCAACATCGGAGTGAGGAGGGGGTTCTGCCCACGCGAATTCGTTTCAAGTCGCGCGCGTGTTGGTTGCTCTGGGGTCGGCAAGTCGTTCCGCTATGTGTTTGTTCTTCCGGCCAAGGGGGGGCGGCAGGCCCGCCAATGGGGGGGCCTCCGCGGCGTCGTGGGAGGGGAAGGGCCCTTTCGGTGCAAGAAAAAATCGGCGCTGGCGGCGGGCTTGCGATCTCCTCGCGGTTCTTGAAAAATCGGCGCCTGCAGCGGGCTCGCGATCTTCATTCCATTTAAAGCTTCACTGAAAAATTGGCGCCTGCGGTGGGTTTGCGACAAGAATTCGCGCTCTGGCGATAAAATCGGCGCCTGCGGCGGGCTTGCCGCCCTCATGTTTTTTTTTTTATCGCTTCAATGAAAAATCCGCGCCTGCGGTGGGCTTGCGACAGAAATTCGCGTTCTGGCCGATAAAATCGGCGTCTGCGGCGGGCTCGCCATCCTCATGTTGGTTCAGGCTTCAATCCAAATCGGCGCGTGCGGCGGGCTTGCGATCGAAATTTGTTGTCTGGTGGTAGATTCGGCGCCTGCGGCGGGCCTACTCCTATGGTACATGTATATATGTTGAAGATGTGATAACAATCTATTTTCGCAACCTAATGTTTCCCTACTTTGAAATTGTTCCACATACCAGAACCTGTGCATATTACCTTCATTCCAAGCCCAGGGGTGCCCGGGTGCCTGGGTGCCCAGATGCCCGGGCGTGCCGGGGGGTGCCCAAGGTTGCCCTATAGCCATACAGCCCTATAGCCCAACAGACCTATAGCCCTACAGCTCAATAGCCCTATAGCCCTATAGCCGTATAGCCCTATAGCTCTATATAATATATAGCCCTATACCCCTAGACCCTATAGCACTAGAGCCCTATAGCCCTATAGCCCTGTAGCTCTATTACCCTATAGCCCAATAGCCCTATAGCCCATATAGCCCTATTGCCCTACAGCTACAAAGATTATGATTAGGGTGTTTCTCTGGTATCATTTTCCCATCTGTTCTGGTTCTTGTCTTCCCCCCCGCTTCCCATGTTTCCCCATATTCTCTGGGGAATCGACGATGCATCGTGTCTATGTGCTTTCCTCTTGAACTTTGTCCTGCTCCGACGTCCTGCAGCAGGCTGTCGCGCAGCAGCGCCACTGCCAGGCCGCCCTCCCCCCGCAGGTGCGCGGCGCAGCCCCCGAGGAAGCACCGCTCGGCCGCGGACGCCGCCGCGCGCGCCCTCCCCGACGGCCCCGTGCCCCGGCGGCCCCGGGCACCCGGCGGCCAGCGCTGCCACGCACCCGCACGGTGCTGCTCTTTCCTTGACGAGCGCGCTCCACGACCCGCAGAGGGACTGCCGACACGTGGCCTGGAGCCGCCGCCGGGCACTCCTACGATCCACACGCAAGAAGAACTGACACGTGCTTGTCTCGGGCGTCTGCCCCGGGGCCTTGCCCTCTCTTGGCCTTGACACGAGGCCTCTCCTTCTGTCCCCCCCTCCTTGTTCATGAAAGCTGTGCGCGGCCCGCTGAGCTTCGACCGGAAGAGGCCCGCTCTCGACCCGCGGATCCAAAAAGTTTGCCTCGGACGTCTGCGAGCAGGCCCTCTGCGAGCAACAAAGACGAGCGCGCTCGGTGGCTGCTGCGTCGCCGCGCGGCGGGGAGCCATCCGCACGCGCGTCCGGGCGAGACCGGGGGCCCCGAGTCGCAGAGCGCCCGCAGGCAGGGGGGGGGGGAAGGCGAGGGAGGCGGCCGCGGTATCTCGGGGTGCAGGGCATGTTTTAATCCATAGGATGTTTGAAACAAGTATAGGATGTTTAATGCATGGTTAGCCTATGAACAAATGTATGTATGAACTCATCGTTGTTGTCAATACTGAATCCTGCATTTTTCACACATGATCCGCACTCGGAGCATGTATTAAAAACGGCACTGTACGGGCGCGAGTGACCCTCACGCACAGGGCTGTGTTCGAGCGGGCGGGCGCGGCCCGGCTTCAGGGATGGAGGGCCAAACATGCAGCGTCCTCAGCAAAAAATCAGGGCGGGAGATGCTTCCGGGCGGGTGGCTATGGGGGGCGACCTACATGGGGGGTGGAGAACAGAGCCCCAAAGGGGCCCTTCTCTTCGCCCCAAATCTAGGTCACCCCCCATGACCACCCGCCCGATCCTTTTCAATGTTCGGCCTTCGGGGATATACTGAACCGGGCCAATCCAAACACGAGTCAGGCAATGCAGGATCCTGCAAGACCCTGCGGGATCCTGCACGCTAGCCCAGGTCAGTGCATGTCTTGGAGGTTGCACTTTTTCACTCCTGGCGTTTTCGCCTTGTCTCGGCCCCATGGCCCTCACCAATCGACACCAGCTCGACGAATGGCGCAGGAAGCTGTGGTGTAGGGTTCGGGTCACGAATGTTTACTGTGCTTCACTGTTTTCGCGACGTCGGATCCCAGGGTACGTCGCATCCCACAATTGCGGATAACATTGAGACCGCGGGCGCGTGTTTGTCGCGGGTGGGTCGCGGGTGTTTCGCGGGTTGGGTCGCGGGATAAGTTGCGGGGAGGTTCGCGGGGGGGTCGCGGGCTACGACGACGACAACAAACAAACACATAAAACAACAAAAAACAATCATGTCAAGACTGTTCGTTCTCATCTGCGCTCGCGTTTCAATCAACATCAATATCCAAAACCCTCGATACCCGCCCTCTTCGCCTTCGATCACAACCCCCTTGGAGGCATATGGTCCTTACCTGCCACGCGCAATCGGCACAACCCCTAAGACAGGGGACGGGAGGAGGGAAGAGACAACGGGGAAAGAAAAGTATACGGCCGGGTCGAGTGGGCGGGTCGCTGAAACGTCAGTCCTGCATGAATCGCGAGGAAATTTCGATTGATGGCGCGATTCACCAACAAGAACGCGAGGAAGTCTGGAACGAGAGCGTGATTCCTGAGTGTCGACGGCGCCACGTCTCAATACATGGCCAGGACGTCCCATGCGAGAGCGCGTGCTTCTGGGCGAATTGCAAACAAGGCCCGCGCGAGTGCGCGATTTTGAATTACTTGCGAAGGCTGAACAAGCGGGGGCTGTTGTTGTTGATTTCTCACCACAGACTGATAATTTTTGCGGACCCCCCCACCTCCAATGACCGCTGCGTTTTTCAATTGGAGAGCTTCCACCGGGGCTCGCACCCTGTCTTTTATATTAAGGACACTCGCTAGGCTCAAACTAAGTGGTTGGCCCTCGGACTACAACAACAACAACAACAACAACGGCTCCCGCCTGAGACTTCTTCACAAATTAACCAGGACCCCCGCTCCCGCCTGAGACTTCACGGCCTCTTACTCGGGGATCGTGCTCTCGCTTTGGAATTCCTTACACTTTGTTCAGGAATCTGTCTCTCGGCGTTCTGGACTCGCGCTCTCGATGGAAACGCGCATGCAAATTATTCAAGAATCGTGCCCTCGCGTTGGAATTCCATGCACGTTCCTCAAGCGCCGCGCCCCCGTCACTCAGGCACCCAAGGGTCGCGCTCACGTTTAGGATCCCCTCACAGTTGATTCAAGAATCGGGATATCGCCGCCCTACGTGGCCCCGTTGCAGCCTTTCGTTGCCCTCCCGCTGCCCTCCCTTCGTGCACTCGTTGCAACCCTTCGAGGGCGCCTCGTTGTGGCACCGTTGCAGCCCTTCGCAGCCCCCTCGCTGCCACTCGTCATTCGTGGCCCCCTCGCTGCCCTTCGTGGCCCCGTTGCATCCCTTCGCGGCCCCCTCGCTGCTTTTCGTGGCCCCGTTGCAGCCCTTCGCGTCCCCCTCGCTGCCCTTCGCGGCTCCCGTCGCAGCCCTTCGCGCCCCCTCTCGCGGCACTTCGCGGCCCCGTTGCAGCACTTCGTGGCCCCCTAGCTGCCGTTCGTGGCCCCGTTGCAGCCCGTCGCGCCCCCCTCGCTGCCCTTCGCGGCTCCCGTCGCAGCCCTTCGCGGCCCCCTCGCGGCCTTTCGTGGCCCCGTTGCAGCCCATGGTGGCCCTATTGCAACCTTTCGTGGCCCCCGAGCTGCCGTTCGTGGCCCCGTTGCAACCCTTTGTGGCCCCCCGCTGCCACTCGCTGCCGCATGTATGCCCCACTCGTTCGCCCCCGCCGTGGCCCCATATGCATGTGTTTCGCGGCCCCGCCGTCGCCCTTTGTGGCCCCCATCGCTGCCCTTCGCGGCCCCGTTGCTGCCCTCAGTGGCCCTGTTTTGCTTTCTGCGACTCTATGTACGCATTCCCTTTTTCGTGGCCCCCGCTCGTTCGCGCCCATCGCGGCCCCCGCCGTCGCCCTTGGCGGCCCCCTCGCTGTCCTACGCGGCCCCGTTGCTACCCTCATTGGCCCCGTCGTCGCCCTACGTGGCCCCGTGTTATCTGCCCTTCGCGGCCCCCACTCATTCGCGCCATTCGTGGCCCCATACGCATGCCCTTCGTGGTACCGCCGTCGCCCTTCGTGCCCCCCTTCCTGCCCTTCGTGGCCCCGCTGTCGATCTCGCTCTCGCTCTCGCTCTCGCTTCCGCTCGTCGTCGTCGTCGTCCCCGTTTTCGTCGTCGCCGTCGTCGTCGTCGTCGTGGACTGTCCTCTGTCCGCCCATCTTTGGTCGGGTTGCCGCCGATCAGCGCTGCCACTGGCCAGGCCGACGGCCCGCGGCCGCCCAGCCGTTTTCCGCGGCCCGGCCTGCAGGCCCCTAAGTGGGGCACGATCGAAGACGAAGAGGGCGGACTGGCACTGGAACAGAGGTAAGAGCGAACAGTCTTAAAATGATTGTTGATATTATTGTGATTATGCTTCGTAATAGTTATTTGCGGTGTTGCTGTTATTGTAGTTCGGGGACAATAGGTCCAACTGAGGAGGCCAAATATTGCTGCCGTAAACAACTTGGTGCGAGCCCCGGGAGGGGCACTTCAATTGAGACATACAGTGGGCACCGGAGGATGGGGATCAGCAGGAATAAATTCTTCGGAGGTGACAGCTCACCTCATCACCATTCCTCCGCACTCCCAGATGAGAATCGTGGTGGGACCCGGCCCCTCACCGCTCCCCACCCCAACTGTCAAACTTGTCTCAAGCGGGTCCTGGACCCTGGGGCCCAAGGTCAGCTCTTCACATTGCACCGCGTAAGCCAAAAAAACTCGGGACCCGTGTCCTTCAGGAACCCCCTTTCCTCCATGGCGATGAGGGCATCTCGACATCGCCAGAACACCCGGACCCACCCGGACACCCCCCCAAGATCTCAGACGGCACGAGTTTCCAACCGACGGGGTCTCCTCGATTTCGGCCTAAGCGGGGGCCTCTTCGGGGTCCTACAGGACCATTCACAGTGGATCCAGGATGCGAGCGACTCCCGGGGAAGCGGTCGGGATCTCTGGGACCGCGGATCGAACACACATTCTGCACTGGCGGTTGTCAAGGCCCGCGCCGTGAAAAAAAACGGACGGGACGTCTTGGACGAGCACGTCCTCCTACAGGCAGATTCGGAAAGAAACACTGCACATAAACAACACGTGCTCAAAGATAGTCAGCAATTGCGAGCGAAAAAAAAACACGTCACCTGACCATCTTCTGCATGCCCGACTTACGGGAAATAACTTCGGCAAATCACGGGCGTCCTGGGGGGCCCGCACCGGGTCCCGGGGCTGTCCGCAGAAGGACGACTCGGGAGGAGGAGCGGCCAGTCAGCGGGCAGGGGCCCAGGCCGATGCAAAGCCGCGCTGAGAAAACGTCACGTTGGACGCCCGAAAGGGGCACGGAAAGAAGTCGGTCGACTTCCCCATGCACTGCGTGCAGTGGGAAGACGAGCCTGCCTCCAGAAAAAAGCAGCTTCGACTTTCCAATGCACGCAGTTCGTTTCAATTTTTTGGAACCAGGTTCGACTTCCCACTACACTGAGTATCGTTTATCCGATCCCCATCCCCAGCGGCGTGGCCTGGGCCCCACTTGCCGATCTACCCCCGTAGATGGGGATATAGGTCGTTCCCTTTGGGTTTCGAAGGGTGTATCCCCAACTGGGGTGGTAATTTTGGTGGGGGTCTCGAAGGGGATGGGGATGGGGATGGGCCGCTGCCAAGCAGGCGGCTTTCCCTCTCCGCCTTGAGCGGACAGCGCCCGCGGCGGCGCGGACAGCAGCGCCTGCTCAAAAATACCAGGAACTGCTGATGGGCATCGTACACATGCTCTCCGTGCGTGCCCACCGGTCGGAAGAGGTAGGCAGAAACATGAAGTAGAAAGGCCATTGAA